ACGAAGTAATTTATATTTGGTTTAATAATATAATTTTCTTATAAAGATAATAATTAATTATTTTGTTAGAACTCGATAATTATCTTAATTATATTTTAGATTTTTTATATTTTAAAATAAGATTTTATTCTCTATTTGATTATGTTTATCCGCAATTAGTTATACGAATTCAAACATCGAGGTTTAATCAGTTGTATTTTTGCATAATTTACTTGTAATCTTGAATTTTAAGTAAACATTGGTTTTATGTGTTTTTTGAAAAAATGATAATGTTTTATGTGTTTTTGAGAAAATGATAATGATTTTTTATTTTTGCTAAGGAATTGGTGCCTGACATTAATTCTATTAAAAAAATTCTTATTAAGTAAGAGGCATTTTAGTATTTTTCATTTTGTTTTATTTTTCGTATTTCTATTACATAATTGTCAAACTACACAGCTTAATGCATGTGTACAAGTCATTAATGCATCCTCCCAATTAAACCCTGCGTCTCTTCTTCCCTTAGCAGCCCCATAGTTCGGAGAGTCTCTCCGATGGCCTTCTTCAGTCATCTTCTTCAGCAAACCAAATTCCAAAACCCAAACCCAAATCAAACCCAATCTAAATTCCAAAATCTTACCAGGTTCCAAATTTCAAATCTAAATAAAAACAAATTTGAAACCCAATTACCGAATAATTATATTTCATTTTGCACTATATCATGAAAGTCTCTTAATCATTCTAATCGCTTAATCATTCTATACCAAATCATTCAGTAACTGACAAACAACCCCTAACATTGTTAGAGATATGAACTAATCCATAACAAAATGCATACAACATTTACCATTATATACTTAATGAATTTTAGGAAGAGTGTTTTTTAGTTGCGTGTAAACGAGATGGACCAAATTCATAATTCATTGCAGAATTTATAATTTCCTTTTTCTATAATATAATTTTTTGGATTATGTATAATATATCACATGTTATATATAAGTCTTTTAACAAGTTGAGTCTTGATCTAGATCTAATCTATACAAGTAATTTACATGATTCAATTGATAATAAAACGATTAATCCATCAAATAATCGATCTAACAGATTAATTCGTCGAGATGGGTCGATCCACGTTCACATGTGAATCGAATCCATTTATACTCAAAAGTAAAACTTTTGTTTTTTCTAACATTAAGCCCCACCTTGTGAATCCCCAGGGGGGTCTTATGAAAATTGGTAATAATATAAAAAGGGAAGATGATAAAAAAGAACTCCAACGGCTATCACCCCCACCACCTTTTCCAACCTCCTCCGACCGGATCTCCAAAAAGGCAATGAACACCTTTTGACAGCCTTGCTCAGCTCCCCCACCCCCCACCCCCCTCAAGAAACCAGTTTCACTTCAGTATAAAACTCCCAAGCTTCTGCTCCATTCAAGAACCACCATTATTTCATCATTCTTGATCCCGTAAAATGGGTAAAAGAAGATCACCCATATTGGCAAAAGTCTCAAATCTCATCAAAATCTCCATTTTCATTGCCAAGATGAGGTTGGTTTATCTAAAAAAATCAACCAAACTGAGCAAGTTCAGGTCTTTGAAGCACTACAACAGCTACGGGTGCCTTCAAGAACACCAGTTCTCACCTTCAAGCACTCCCCTAATCCGGTTTCATCACCGGAAAACAAACGGAGGCTCGGTGTATTCGGTTTTCTTTCTTTCGTGTTTCCGTGGGCGACATCAGGGAGGAGTGATGATGGTGGATGAGAGTTACTCGTTGGAATCTGCAGCCATTGTTGAAGTGGAGAGAGATGGTTCAGAGTTATCATATGGATATGGCGAACAGGAAGAAGATGATGATGATTCAGTAGATGAAAGAGCAGAGAAGTTCATTGAGAGGTTTTATGAGGAGATGAAGAAGCAACGAAGGGAGTCATCATCATCATCGGCTGATTTGCCTCTCAACAGGTTGTTGGAATACTGAGTTTGGATGAAAAATTATTAATTTGTTCTTTTTTTAATTTATGTACAAGTCCACATGAAATTAGCGATTGTTGGAGGGTTTATTCACACGTTTTGATTTCTTTTTTTGTTAATAAAATATTCTTTTTATTAATTCTAAGTATTATTGATCGGTTTTTTTTATTAACCTGGATATCTAACCCGCTATACGAGCTGATTAATTTCAGAACAACCATCTGTTTTGCAGATAATCCGGAGTCACCGTATTTTAACCTCCGTGGCCACAGGAGGGTTTTTATTCCTCCTTTGATTTAAACCTGAGACCTCTTGATACTTTTGACCTTTAGAAATCAAGAGTAATGAAATGTGTACGTTTTATTAAGGTATGGAACATAATATGCATGATTAATTAATTGGAATAGAAAACCAATTACTATTGGAACCAATAAATATTCATTTTAACCACAAGGGTGTTGCTGGTTGATTTGAGTTTGGTTTTAAAGGTCAAAAGTATCTGGAGGTCTCACGTTTAGATCCAAGGAGGAATAACAATCCCCTTGTGGCCACGGAGGTTCAAATGCGGTGACTCCGGGCTATCTGCAAAGCAGATGGTCGTCCTGCAATTAGTCGGCTCGCATAACAGGTTGGATATCCAGGTTATTAAAAATAATAACAATAATAATAAATATTCATTTTTATGTAATTATTTCTTTTTCAGCTGGAAAAAATAAACTACTTTGATTTGATTTTTATTATTGATAATGTATTTATAGAAGTTTCATTTTGATATTTAGGATAGTGATATGTCGAACAATTAAATGCATGGGTAACATGTTTAATCATTAATATGTTATCATGTTGAAGTGGCAAATGGTGTGAATACTTTCTTAGAAATATTTTTATAGTTTGTGAATGCATTATAAACATACTCTAAATCTATGAGATCTAATAGAGTTTGTGAACATATTATGGACACAAACTAAATTTAAATATACTATTTGTGAATGGTCTAATAAAAAAATATGTTAATAAAAGATGAGAGAGAGAAATATATAAGTATGAAAATATCATTAAAAATGCATTAATTTTGAATTAATAAATAAGAATAATTATTTATTAAATCTACACCATCCCACCTCACTCTGCCGGTTAAGTTATTAGTATTAAAAATCTACTAAAAATGACCAATATTTTATTTATTCTTTTGAAAAAATAACCAATGTTATCTCAATTTGTAGGCTTTTTCACCATCAGGGTCATCGTTCTATGTACCCCAACCGATGACCTATAGTACATTAGGTTATATGGGGTCAGCTCCGTCGTATATTACACCGCCCCCTACATGCAGCATGTAAGTTATTACTATCATTTGTTTAATATTCTTTTTTTTTTCTAAAAATCTATTGAAAATGATCCATCTTAATTTGTAAGGCACACCGGGGTCATCATTCCATCCAATGACTCACGATTTCTCTAGTCATGTGGACAACATGCCTAAGGGGCTTTGGGGAACCAAGGCCTCTGTGCTTGTTTTACTGTTTACTAACGTTGGGTATAGAAGTAGTATTAGTACGATTACTTAAGAATAAATAGTCTTTGTTAGTATAATTAGGGTTAAATATTTGAGTGATTTTGTTTGTAAGTCTCAATATTTTGAGTCTTATCAGATTTTAGTTATTGAAACAATTTGTTAATTATTAATTTTGATTGATAACTGATACGTAGATCAAGATTGAACCATGAAACTTAACTAAAAACTCATAAATGTAGCTTTTAAGCTTCTTGGTTTAATTTATATGATTAGAGTCGATGTTCAAAGACTCTATTTGGAACATGAAATGGAAGGTGGTTTTTTTTAAATGGCTAGTTTGTTTTGTTTTCCGAAAAATAAATTGCTAAAAGATTTAGTAAAATTGTACAAGATTACAAAGCCGCAAAAAAAATCAACAAGTTCCACTTTGATGTGTTAGGGACTGGATATTACCAAAGAATCGTGTTGGAAAGCACTTTCCGAATACAATAATTCGACCCTATTAGCCTTTGGTTCACAAATTTCGTATTGGGATAATTCTAAATGTTATTCTCTCGTTTCCGAAGGCTGTCAAAAACGATATATATACCTAGATTCTCATTTTAAATATTTAAATGGGAGATTGACAGTTATTGGCGGTTTAACAGTTATAACTGTTAAAGGATAAGGTCAAAAAGCAGTTACAACCGAATATGAAATTCTGAACCGGCCAGCAGTACGCACCATCACTAAAGACGTTTCAACGACAGTTGAAGGCAGTTTAGTGACAACTGAAGGCACTTCAACGATAGCTAAAGGTACTTTAGCGACAACTAGCTCGGCCAGATTCAGCGATAATCAAATTTTAAGTTACGACCCCGCCCGTTGATTGGTCTGCAGGACCCCACCCGCTGATGGGTCAGTGGGACCACTAAAAGGCGCTACCCCTAGGACCCCGTAACGGAGCGCGACCCCCTTAACCCCCACTTTATGATGATCTAAGGTGATAGGGGAAACATTTGTAAGCATGTAATATGCACCTCCTAACTTACATAAGTTTGTCTCATCTCCCTTAACCAATCTCGAGTAAATCACAATTACACTAAAAAGCTTGATGACACTAACATCACCAACATGATGGACCATGTTTGAAGATTTCGTAAATTTTTTGTCTTGTTTTAGAGTTTTAATATGTGTCAAAGGAATTAATAAGGGATCCGGACTCTAGATCACTTTTAATCTCACCCCACCCCAAGAATTGCGTTTATCACAAGAATTGATCCGGTGCACCATATTGGTGTTGATATTCAATTATGATTGATCCAAGGTAGAGATTCTTTTTTACCCTTCTCACCATAACTTTCATTCTCACCGAAATTCAATCATTTAACATGTTATACTTTGGATAATGTATCTTTTGTATTTTTAAAAATACATATCTATTGCATCGAAGCAAATTAGACTTGTTTATATGATCCATTTGTATAAAAAGATCAAGTTTAGCCCCCGGGGTTAGAAGGTTTTGTGTTCCGCCCATGCTTCTTTTGAAATCAATGTTGTTATAATGAATAGATAAATTGATAACTTTTAGATTGAAATACTTAAAAAATAATATCGTATTCTTTAGAACACGTCAAAAGTTGCATTTTCTTAAAAGACAGAGTAGTTATAACGTATTCAATAATCACAATATCGATTTCTTTTCGTATCAATTTCAATATTAAAAACCGGTTAGTTTAATATTCATAAGTCAAAAAGCTTGACTTATCAAATCAATAAGGTTTAAATGGTTAATTGGTTCGTTGGTTCAAAATTGTATCAAAATATTAGATGGATCTAATCCGGTTCAATAGATAATCAATGTCGATCAATCATCCATTGGATTTAATTAGATTGGATGTCCAATGTTAATTGGATTGGATTAGATGACAAAATCCAACATTCACATTGGATGAACGGACCTGATCGGATTCACCTAAAATCTATTGGATTTCGACCGACGAACGTGCTTCATAATAGTATGTTTTCAAACCCGGTTCTATAACCCGACGACCGACGAACGCCTTTATAATAGTACGTTTGATACTATTAAATAATACCCGATTCTATAACCCCATGTTTTCTTTCTCCCGCTCTCTATTTGTTTGCCACTCAAAGATGGCGTTTGCTTTTAAAAAGTGTTGAAATCTGAAGTCTTATTTCAATTCTGATTGATAAGAGGTGGTGATGAAGTCTAACATCTGAATCAACAAGACTGATTGTTTTTGTAAACCGATAAATGTCTAAATTTGTTTAAGTTGTCTATTTTACTCATTGGAAAATTATAGTGTCGAATTTATAGATAAATTTATACAATTCATATATTTATTCATCATCTTTATGAAATTTACATCTAAATTATATAAGTAGCATTCATTTGAACGAAAATATGTCATTAACGATATTTAACACATTTAAATTCTATTAAAATACTATCTACTGATAGAGAAATGTATCTCAACCAGCCATTTTTTCATAATGATTACTAAAATTTATATTTTTAAAAAGTTAAAAAAGTGTTTTAAATTATAGATAAAATGTCATTTAATTATTTTTCATGATTAATTCAATTTCAAATCCGATAAATCAAACACAGAAAATTTCAAACCATTCCAATTTCAATCCTAAATCCTTCCATAAAATCCAAATCCGTTCTAACCATGAACAAGTTTACAAATATTACAGTTTCAATATAAATGCCTGACCCAACAGCAAATTAAAATTCTTATCAAACCCAAAAAATAAGTTAAAAATAAAATGGAAACTAATATTTTCTTCATCTGTAAGAAGATCCAAAAGAACAAGCCATTATAAACACCCCATTTGAATCAAAAAACCAAAAATCACATCGAAATAAAACACGATAATTTCTACTGCATCGAGCCAAGAATTCTGGAGGGTAGAAAGGGCAACGATTGTAGTTTTGATCACGTAGATTTTTTATCCGTTGATCCTTTGAGGTTAAGATTAAACCATCTCTTCTTTGTAGACTTGTCCTTGCCATCTTCACCTGGGCTGCTGTCTTCACCAGGAACTCGACTATTGCCGCCATTACTCACTTTACTCCCGAAAACGACCGACCGATCAACCATGAACGATGATTGGATGTTGTCTCTTTGTTTTAGAAGCTCGTCGACCTGTAGCTCAAGAGATGATCACAAAATGGTTTATTTGGAGTTCTTGAAACAAATTCCAACAAAAGTTCCCAAAATATTCAACAACTGGTTTGTTTCAAAGGTAGACCATTCAACTCTTCATCCGAAAGAATCTTTCAAGGGCAAAATGCATCAAAATGCAATGAAGTTTGCTTATATTCCTATTTAGTGTAACAAATAAATCTTTTCTCAATCAACGTAACAAGGTTTCAACTTTCTTATTTTTACTCATTTTGATCGGTAACTTGTTGATATGGTAATTGTGAGGATATAAGAAATCTAGGATTAATCTCCAAAAGAGCCCTTGAGGAGAGAAGGGAGGTTCCAATATATACAGAGAAGGGTTGTCCAAGTCTAGCCGATGTGGGACTCTAATAGTAATATTTGATTATGCAGATGTCAAGCTTATCTTCCTTTGCGCCATAACCCTTTCGTAAACAGGTTTATTAACGTCATCAAATTGTTACAAGATCAACAGGTTTCGATGAAAATGTGAAATTTTAAGACTTTGTTACGTCGATTGAGAAAGAAAAATTTTCTACTTGATTCTATCCACCTCTTCCTGAATCATATATAATGGTAAGTTGAACCTATTGAGAGCAAGCTAATTATATTTCTTCACCCGAATTGCACCTAACAAGGATCCATTTCTTTTATGGTATAATCCAGCTATCCGATCAAATATCAGATTGACTGTTTCTTGATCTGAATACGTCTTGATGGTTTTTGCTTTATCAGTTGGTTGACCGTGTACATACTTGATGTTAAAATGCAAGTCTTTCGACTCGTATAAGTCTAAGTTGGACTCATAAATTGATAATAATGATTAAACACATACATACAGGTTACTTACATTCTGCTTTTCTTGGCTGTATCTGTTGGTCACTTCTTGGAACTGTGCTAAAGCCTGCAACAGATCAAAGAAAGAAACAATATGGCAAACGTGAGTAATTTATTAGCTCCTTGTGTTATTAGCCCCTTTTTTCACATTTTGCCAATTATGCCCCTTGTGTTAAAATTGAGTAATTTTTTAACATGTATTTTTAGGTCATTTTACAATGTCATCTAACTTATCTGCTAGTTTTTACCAAACGTGACTAAATTATTAGCTAACAGTTAATTTATTAGCCAAGAGCTAGTTTTTCAGAAATAACGAGCTTATGCGCTAGTTTGCATAGCCTTAGATTTATAAAGTTAATCCATGAATGGACACATGTCATGCTTTTGAAGCAACTCACATGAAAAAGAAAGTATAATACACCACTGGTGTATAGAAAATGGACTCACAAAAAGTGGCTAAAGACTACAATGACCAAACATCATATGAGATAAATTAACCTTTCTATATTCTGTCTCAAACTGGCGTAGTTCCGTTCTCTTTCTTAAAATCTGCTGCTCAATATCCTTGAGCTTATGGGTCGTGCCCTCGTATGTGGCTGCACAAAGAGCTTCTATCGTGTAGGATGCGGTCTTGAAAAAATTATCACCTACAACAAAAGAGATCATAAGTATAAAAATCTTCCTGTATGAGGAACTAACAAAACCAAAAAGAAAAAAAAGAACAAAAAAGAGGAAAAGAAAATCAAACCATAAACGGAAAATATGTGGGTCCCAGCTTTTAGTTCCGAGACCTCGCACGGCTGGAGGCCTTCCAACCTTTTAAAGAAAGCAGCATCTGGGTCCTTAGCCATTGCTAACTGCCCATAATCACAAGCCATTGTCATCACCAAATGTCTTTACATACCTTTCAATGATAATAAGGAACATAATTTGAAAAATATGTTTGCCATTTAACAAAATATCTTAAATACCCGTGAATAGCTACGAAATGGTAGAATCTAGTACACTAAATCGTATCAACAATTCTTGTAATGATGATGACAATTGGCAAGTAAGTTCAGATTAAGGCCATGTTTAGCAACCATAAACTAGCTTATAAGCTGGCTTGTTTTTTGAGCTTATTGAAAAAACCTTGTTTAGTAAGCCATAAGCTAGCTTTTTGATAAGCTACTTCAAGTAGCTTTTTGATAAGCCCGTGGAGGTTTTTCCACTTTTTCAGTTATGCCACCTTTATTTTTCCAATTAATTTTTCTAACATGTCATTTTACATTATCGTCTCACTTTTCAGCCAACAACTAGAACTAGTTCGCCAGACATGGCCTAAACATTTGTCAAAAAAGTAGAAGTTGCAATTTTCACGAGACTCCCATGAAGGAAAGCATTACAATTTACATGGGGGATATAGAATTGACATAACATGGTAGATGCATACCGCATTAACACTTGAATCCATCCTATATACTTGAAAATGCAAGAAATACATCCCGGCAGATGTAACTTTCCCTGTCTTCTCACTGTCTTCCTGCATGAGGATTCACAAACAGCAAACTCAAATTACAGTGACAAATCTACAGAGACATGGATGCAAAAGAGGCAGAAGGAAAAAAAACATAATCATACGAATATATGAACAGAAGATGTGGGTCAAAGAGAATACACCCTGCACAAAAAATGTAGAAACACAGCCACTCATAGAACAGATTGAATAAACTGAAAGAAAATCCCACACTAACATTTATCAGCAACAAAAGAAACCCTAGCCCAAAGAAAACCTCCCATCCTCAGGGGCCAACCTCTACTTTCACAGGCTAACAGAAAGGCGGCCAAGGGGACAGCTTAGGGGCTGGTTGGTTGGCTTTACATTAAACCCTGTATGGATTAAGCTGTCTGTATGTATTAATCCCTGTATGGGAAACTTCCCATCCTTGTTCACCTTTCTGCGCTACTACAAACATGCAGCCATACTACACTGCTACAAAAATGCACATCTCTATCATATCACAATTCCCAGCGGAATAAATACCCCTTTTACGTATGTAGTTTAGGTGACTAATAATTGGCTAAAGCACTATCCATTGTAAGAGACTACAACAGTGCATAACCTTCTTGCCTCCTCCTGGCCCTCTTCCTCAAATTAGTAATCTCTAACATAATGCAAGTAAACCAATCTCTGAAATCCACCGTCACTTTTTCATCTGATATGAATCACATTCAAGTGCCAAGAAATACATGTCTATCTAATCCTACTGATACCATAGAAGCTACACATCTAATATGTGCCCTTAACCAACGATATGGCCTTAGCAGCTTGAACGTCAATCTCAATGCTTGACAGGGGCATGGGAGAGAAAGACACAAGGTCTATAGGGCAAAGAAGCGAGTAATGCTAAAAAGAGTAAACAGGAGTTTTCCTCCTCAAAAGAACATGTTGGACCTAGAAACGTTCTAAGTTTCATAGAAGTTGTTAAGCTCTCTTGTGATCCAGTTGCCTGTAAATGGGTTCGATTTTTGGGGACTAAAAAGAGTGAAGGCAGCAACCATGGTATTGGAAACCACCCTCTTACAAAAACTTAGGTCAAAACAAGCCTCCTCCAATTTTTTGTCGCTTAACTACAAATGCCTTCCTTAAGCAAAGTCTGCATCATGCTATTGAGCTACTTCATTGTCAACATCTCGAGTTCCTCTTTTTGTTAATTGGTAAGGTATCACTAGATGCAAACTCCTCAGCTTTGAATTCACAGGGACTCTCCTTTTGCAGTATCTAGATATGTGGTCCTTTAGCTATGTGATTTCTGTTTACATGCTGGCTATCACGTCTTCTATCTCACTTTTTGTTGTTTCAAATTCGTGTTTCAAGGCATCCATATTACAAGATCCAAAAGGAAACATAACACTTCGACTATTTTGAACATCTTCTATGGATGGTTATGGTTATAAAACCATAAAATGATTATACCTCTCTCCACTATAAAGATTTAATCAACTCATTGCGTTCTACTTCTCTCCACTAATTCCACCGTCTTATTCTTACATACCTGTCTCCTTTGCATGTTTTATGCCGTATACCTCCTTTGTTTGTTGTTTAATCTTAATTTTTTGTCTATATTTCCAGGAAGGTTAAATATGTGCTCTTAGGGTGTGCATATTGGGAATTAAAATCATTCCCTTCATTCTACTCCATAATTCTCTCCTCAGATTGCTCCCCTATTTTCGTCCTTTTATTTTGTTAACCATTGTTTTGGTCTTTTTATTTCTCCCCTCTGTATTGCATTTTATGATCGAATAAGAAAACACAAAACCTTGAGCCATCAATTTGATCATGGTATCAGAGCGGTTTCTAGCCAAGCTCTGGATATCGAAACCCTAATCGAAACTCTTCATCAGCCGACGCAATGGCTGGAGAAAAAGACACAAATGGCGACAAGAATGAGGGTGGCATTGATGCCAACTCACCATTACATATTCATGCTTTGGATTATCCGAAACAGATGCACGTCAACGATCTTCTAAACGACCACAATTACACCGATTGGTCACAGGAAATGATGAATTTTCTGTTTGCCAAAAACAATGTGGTATTCATTGATGGATCCCTCAAGAAACCAGAAAAAACTTCTCCCAACTACATGCCTTGGATGCTTTGTGATGCCATGTTAAAAGGGTGGCTCACAATGGCCATGGAGAAGGAAATAAGAAGCAGTGTGAAATACGCAAAATACGCAGGTACCGCTCGAGAAATCTGGGATGACCTCGTTGAAAGATTCGGAAAATAAAGTGCGCTTAGAGCTTTCGAGTTGAAGCATGCTCTCGCGACTACACAACAATCCGGAGCGTCCGTTTCTACATATTACACGAAACTCAGGGGGCTTTGGGATGAAATAGGCTTGGTAATGCCCACACCGCAATGCACCTATAATGGGTGTAGTTGCGATCTTGGAAAAAGGATGAATGAATCCAAGGAGAAAGAGAGAGACTATGAATTTCTCATGGGGTTAGACAATGAATTTACAGTGATCAAAACGCAGATCCTTGCCACAAAACCTATCCCTAACTTGAGCAGCGCTTACCATCTCGTGGCAGAGGATGAGAGACAAAGGGCCATATCGCATGGCAAAAGACCTACAACCGAAGCCGCTGCCTTCAAGGAGTTTACTCCAGGTCGTAAAGATGGTGTTGGAGGTCGTGAAACTCATAAGCGTGACAAGGGTACTACCAAGGACCCCAAACACAATGATGTAATCGAACACTACACCTTTTGTGGGAAGGACGGGCACAACAAAGAGGGTTGTTTCAAGAAGATCGGCTATCCTGAATGGTGGCCGGGTAATAAAACCAAGCGAGAAGACACAAAGGTTGTCTACGTCGAAGCCGGTTCAAGTCGGATTCTTGGACTCACAAAGGAACAATACCAGACCTTGCAGACCTTCGCCGGAGAGAACAACAAAAACAGGGATGGCGCACCACATAAGGCTAACTACGCAGGTAAAAGGGAAGGGGACGATGAATGGGTGGTAGACTCGGGAGCCACCGAACACATCACCTATGAACCAGATTTCCTCAACGGCCAAACTGAAATTGGATTCGAGGCACCTGTCACCATTGCAAATGGGACGAAAGTGCCTGTTAGAGGAAAGGGTAACTCGATCCTTAAAGGGAGTACTAAAATTGATGATGTTCTTTAAGTCCCCAGTTTTAGTTGTAATCTATTATCTGTAAGGAGCTTGATTGGTGCGGGGAGATGTGAAAAAGGATTTTATTGGATGGGGATGGTCAGAAACAAGAGAAAGGCTATGGTGGTAACTAATGACACTTGGCACAAGAGGTTGGGACACGCTTTCGGTAAAAAGCTCAAAGAGAATAGTTTTCTTAAAAACGTTGTTTTCAATTAAATTTGTAACTCTTGCTCTAAAGCTAAGCACACGAGACTTCCTTTTTCGAATAGCACTACAAAAACCGTTGAATGTTTTGATTTACTGCATTGTGATATTTGGGGAAAGTATCGTACACCTTTTACCGGGGCAAATTTTTTCTTGATGATTATTGATGATTTCAGTAGAGTCGTATGGTTATTCCTTTTGAAATTCAAACATGAGGCCAGTGGACACTTAAAAGAATTTTCACAAAATGGTAAAGACTAAGTTTGGTGAAAACATTAAAAGAATTAGATGTGATAATGGTGGGGAGTTCACATCCAATGATATGATATGTATTTACAAAGAAAATGGGATTCTACTTGAAACAATGTGCCCTCACACGCCCCAACAGAATGGTACCGTTGATAGAAAACTGACATCTCCTTGAAACAACTCGAGCTTTGCGATTTGAGGCTAGTTTACCAAAGCAGTTTTGGGGAAAATGTGTCTTGACCGCCGCTTACGTCATCAATCGGTTACCGTCCAAGGTCATCGGTAATAAAACCCCTTTTGAGCTTCTTCACAATGAAGCACCTGACTATGATCACATGAAGCTCTTCGGTTGTTTAGCATATTACTGAAACATCGATACAAGAGGAGACAAATTTGAAGAAAGGGGGAGAGCTGGTATTTTCTTAGGTTACCCACCAAGCACAAAAGGATATAAAATATACGATCTTGAAAACAAGAAAATAATTATCTCAAGGGACGTTAGAATTTTGAGAGCCACTTCCCTTCTGATAATGTTACTTCAAACCGTCAACATGAAGACATTTTTTAACAAGAAAGCCGGCCCACTGAAGTTAATGTCGAGATTCAAAACCAAGTGGAGGATGATGTCACAATGGGAATTAATGAATAAACTACATATGAGGGTATGGAGACAGATAGCCCACCTCGAAACCATGATCAAAATCCTTAACATGAGGTTGATCACGTGGATGAGACAAATGAAGCTCTAAGCCCAATTGGAAGTCCAAGTACAGAAGACTATGGCCCAAACGAAGAGAATGGAGTCCAAAACATGATTCCTGAACAGGGACGGTGTAAACGAACTCGATCTCAACCGACTCGATTCAAAGACTTCGAAGTCAAGCTTCCCCCATCCGTTGATCCAACACATCTCGCTTCCGGTCAACACTCCTCTACGGTACCTCCCCTGTCCAATTTTGTATCTTATGAGCATTTTTCTGACTCACACAAAGCTTTCTTAACGGCCATTCATTCCAATAATGAGCCAAGAAATTTTGCACAAGCCATGCAAGATGAACAATGGAAAGAGGCGATGAAAAGGGAAATACGAGCTCTTGAAGAAAACGGCACGTGGACTCTCGCAGAATCGTCGGAAGGCAAACGGGCCATAGACTCGAAATGGGTCTACAAAGTAAAGTATAAACCAAACGGGGAGGTGGAACATTACAAAGCTCGTCTCGTTGCAAAGGGATTCACGCAACAAGAAGGAGTTGACTACCATGACACGTTTGATCAGTAGCCAAACTCGTCACGGTTAGAACTCTTCTAGCCGTTGTCATCAAGAAAGACTGGATTATCAATCAACTCGACGTGAACAATGCATTTCTACATGGAGATTTAGACGAGGAAGTTTACATGAAGATCCCACACGGATTCTCTGAAGAAAAGGAAACTCGAGTTTGCAAGTTAAAGAAATCACTCTACGGATTAAAACAAGCCTCACAGAATTGGTATCAAAAATTTACCACGTCCCTCCTTAACCTGGGTTTCACACAATGCAAAGCCGATTACTCCCTTTTCTCAATAAACAAAAGAACAGTTTCGTTGCGGCCTTGATATACGTAGACGATGTCATTATCGTTGGTAACGATCGTGATTGGATACAAGCCATAAAACACGAGCTCGACAAACAATTTAGCATAAAGGATCTAGGGAACCTTAAATACTTTCTTGGGATTGAGGTGGTTCGCACTTCCGAAGGACTTGTCTTGAGCCAAAGAAAGTACACCCTAGACATTCTCGAAGATTGTGGGCTACAAGGCTGTCGACCCAGCTCGTTTCCTATGGAACCAAATTTGAGACTTAATAAAGGAGAGACAGAACTAAAGGTTGACAGCAGCCTTTACCGTCGAATGGTGGGACGGTTACTTTATTTGCAGGCCACCCGACCCGACATCACATATGCGGTTAGTGTCTTGAGCCAATTCGTCAGTGACTCAAGGCAGAACCATATGAATGTTGCCCATCGTGTCCTTCACTATCTCAAGGCTACGGTTGGACAAGGCATCCTTTTACCACGATCAGAAGGATATAATCTCACGGCGTATTGTGATTCCGACTGGCTTGGATGTCCCTTTACGAGACGATCAAGAACAGGATACTCCTCCTTAGGGGCGCACCGGTTTCATGGAAAACTAAGAAACAATCGGTCGTTTCTCGCTCTTCCGCTGAAGCAGAATATCGTTCCATGGCCTATACTGTTAGCGAGGTTCTATGGATGCGATGGTTACTACAAAAGTAAGATGTTCCGTTTGAAGGTCTCACTCCTCTTTTTTGTGATAACCAAGTAGCGAGACACATCGCCAACAATCCCGTTTTCATGAACGGACTAAACATGTGGAGATGGACTGCTATTTTGTCCGTGAAAGAGTCGAGACTCAAGAAATTCGTCCTCTCACATCGACTCAAAGTTACAAATCGCCGACCTCTTCACAAAAGGCTTAGGTACTCCTCAACTCAGTTTTCTACTTAGCAAGTTGGGTGTTGTCAACCTACACACTCCAACTTGAGCGGGAGTATTGGGAATTAAAATCATTCCCTTCATTCTACTCCATAATTCTCTCCTCATATTGCTCCCCTATTTTCGTCCTTCTATTTTGTTCCTTTTTAACCATTGTTTTGGTCTTTTTACATCTCCCCTCTGTATTGCATTTTATGATTGAATAAGAAAACACAAAACCTTGAGCCATCAATTTGATCAGTGCATGAATGGAGTTTGGAGTTCGATAAGCAGGTACTTTGATGGATTGTTTTTGTATTGGCCCAAATACTTGAATAATCATGCAACATTTATATTCCCACCAAGTTAGAGAACTCCTCATTTCCTCATATTTTTAATAGGTTTTACACAAAGACAGTAAAAACGTGAGAATTTTAGAACAATAAGAAGCTTGAATCCTAAAAATAGTTTTCCAAGAGAACTGAAATTTAAAAGGTGCTAATAGTAAGTGCCTGTAGAAAAAAATCTCACAGGTTGATCGGTTATATGTTTACAGCCAAAAGCAACCAACATCCTCACTTGTATTGGCTCTCCATAGATTTAAAGGCTTCACTTATGGTGGAATATTTTTCACCAACCCGATTAATCACAATGATGAATCGAAACCTCAACTATGCACCCTCATAGACAAATTGTATCATTCTAACCAACTTTTGAAATTAGTTTTACTAATACCATTTTTTTTTAAATTTTAACATGATGAATATGCAACACATAGCAATGCAACAAAAACAAGTCTTCCATCCCAAACTACGAATAAAATAGCGATATTGATAGTTAAATGATTCAAACCCTTTAAAGGAAAAGGTGGTACCTGTAATGCCAGATTATAGCCCCCTCCATTGTCTTGCTCAAAATAAAGTAGCTGCAAAGTAGGAGAGTAACATTTTAGGGCGAAAGGAAGAGTTGGGTAGGATATGCACGCAATTTGGATCGTAATCCAGTTACATCAGTTATATAGTTAGGCCTCTAGCATGATAACTTTCCTGTCTTACCCTTTTGTCCTCTTTTTCATTTATAAAAGGAATATTCTTCCATCAACGAACGTACCACTATGAATTAACAAAATACTAGCAATGCTAGTGGATGTTAAGAAAATACTACCAACCCAAAACAAGCCTAGTATATCCCACTCAGAGGTGGGTTCTGGAGGGCAGTGAGACATATGACATATGCAATCCTGGCCTACTCTACCCAAAGAGTATAGGGGTTATTTCCATGTAGACCCAGGCTTGTGAAAAGTTTGCGAAAAAAGAGAAAGTTGAGTCAAATAGAAAAAAAACATATTCGAAAAAAGAACTTGGGACAAGAAATGGGAGTTAGGAGGAGATATTTAGGCATATAACCTTAAATGAGATTCTAATTAAATCCATGACCTACTCATGAGTATAAACCCATTTTTTCTTATATAGGCCAGGAGGTTATGAATTTAATTAAAAACTCATTTAGGGTCATTTTCCTAAATGACTCGAGTTAGGAGTAAGCAACAACATGCAAACATAAGTAGGGAAAGTCCTGAATCACAAAATACCGTGTATAATATTTCTGTGACTGTGTGTGTGTGAGCGTGATCATGGATCCTAACAAGTTATGCACTCAAACACATAAGAAATTGACAAAGTTTCTAGAATATGCAAGTACCTTAAATTTGCTTTGGGCGGCTGAAGTAACTCTAACTATGATCCCTGCTTGAGCTTGTTCCTCGGTTACAGTAACACCAAAAAAATGAGCAGACTGTTTTTCTACCTGCAGTTGAACTTAATTAAGCCAAATGAGTAGCTAAAGAAGTAAGCTCTTGAAACACACTTATGTGCACCTTTCCACTAACTGATGATCCTAATGGAAGGGGTCTGACTGTGACGGTTCCACTCAAAGCATCTTCAAGAACATTGGCGGAAATAGTTGTCTTAATAGGAACTCCGAGCTTACTTAAAATAGGAAAAAGTGAATGGAAGAGAATGACTATATGGGTCAAAATGAATCGAACACATGAAAATTTCAATAAAAATTACCTGAATAATGCTGCAAACATTGTATTCACTGTTCCAAGGTTTGATAAATCGATTTCCATGTCTGTGCCATCAGCATCAATAGCCTAAGGGTTTCACAACAGATATGCAGTTTTAATCAATATAGTGTAAATACACAAAAGTTGCTAATTAAGACTAAATAAAAGTAAAAGGGGATGTAGACCACGGACAGAAGATCAAATTAATCAAATGGTAGAGAAGGGCACAGGTGTAAGAGATCTAGGAGAAACTAAAAGGGCTCCCCGACGTAAGAAATGCAATTTCTGATTAGGATGTATGAAAGTCGAATTCCGTACAAAATTCCTTTCTGATTTAACCTCAACGGTCAATGGATAGAAATGCATTTTGGGATAATCTTTTCAAGAATTTTACATGAACTGTCTGCCTAAATTTTGTACCACCGTTATCAAAGATAACGGAATAATGATGAACACAAACAAAAAACAAATGTATGATGCACACAAACCCAATATATAGATACGAAGTTGTAATACTTCAAATGGCATGCTTCCTCTAAATAAACAGAGCTGGCCCTATTCAATTATACTACATAATGCAACTGTATGATGGAAATCATATGTTTTACTAGGCTAGTCATTCTTCAGATGATTTTAACAGCCACAAGTTTTTAAAAAGATTCAATTTCAGAAAGTGAATCTGATATTTGAGTATCAAGAGAAAAAGAAAGACATAAAGTTCTGAATACATTCAAAAAGGACACAAGAATCAAATACAGAAGTATAGTAGATGGTGAATTGTACATCGATGATACAAACTATAACCCAGACCTTTTAATGTATACCCAGGAAGCTATTAACAAAATTAACATAATACATAAATATATGTATAGATATAGATGTACATGTACATGTACATATACATATACAGGGTAAACAGTAGCAGAAGACTACCTCAAATCCTGCATTGTCATATTGCCTTCTTTTCTCTGGATCAGACAAAATGTTGTAAGAATATGCAACCTCCTTAAATAGTTCGGAGGCTTCAGGATTACTAGCATTCTTGTCGGGATGATACCTATCAATAACTAATATTATTAAAACCACAGAAGTAACCTAATAGCACAATTATAGTAGTTCTTAAAACATACCCAATAGAGTGAAATAACTGAAAATTATTGTGTGGTTTCAAACCAAACAAACAGCATAATCATACAAGAAAAGAAATGCATAACATAATATAACACTCTACAAACAAAATGAAGAATGCATCATGGTATATTGATTGATATTAACTTGTGAAACACGCAACCCTAAACGTAACAGATCAATTCAAACAATATCTATAACAATTTAGATGATAATCAACAGGTATGAAGTAAGAGTAACAAAAGGAAGCAATAAAACTGAAAGATGGGTATTGAACTAACTTGAGAGCAAGCTTTCTGTAAGCAGATTTAATCTCCTGATCAGAAGAATCTCTTGAAACATTCAAAACTTCATATGGGTCTCTACGATTCGGAGCTGCAGCTGCAGTTGCAGCTGCGGAAGAAGAGGTTCCCCCCTCCATCTTCGAACCTCCCATCCCCTTTCTTCTTTTCCTATCTATCTTCTTCCTTTGTCAAATTCAAACTTTCTTCAACCCCTCGAGAGTTAAAAAACTTACAAAAAAACGCAACCAATGACTTCTCAAAAGACCCAAAAGTATTATAAACCCTGACGTTATCTGAAAGATGAGTCAAAGGAGGATAGAACAATTCAGGATCGAGAGTGCACGAGCTTCAGAGCATCGGATCGGTGATCGGAGGAAACTGATAATAAAAGAAATGAAAAAGACCAAGATCCAAATCGAAATAGGGACAAGTTTTGAGCAGGGTTTTTCTGAAAATAACAAGAGATGAATTGGGTCTAAATTTGAACAAGAGTTGGCTTTACTCGAGTGATTGAGAAAGAACACTGCCCCATAAATTGTACTGCATTTTTTTCTGATGGAACATAAATATTCATCTATGGAAAGATGAGTTGCGTTTAATTGCAACCATCAGTTTTGTAAGGTTTCATAATTCTTTTTTTTTTTTAAATTTAGAGTAAGAATATTCAATTTTTGAAAAGAATGACGTAATATTTGATGATGCTTTAGTAAAATATTATTTTATTATTTGAATAATCAAGGTGTTCATGGGTTGGATTGATCGGGTTGAAGACATTTGAACAACCTAATTTTATGTTTGCGGTTTGAAAAATTTTAACCCAAACCAACGTGCAACCCAACTCAACTTGTACGGGTTGGTCGGGTTGAAACTTTGGTACATTAAAATATTTTTCTAAACTTGAATATGTTATTTCTCTACTCATAATTTCTTTTTCATCATCAACTATTTGATACAACTTATCCATATTTCTTATGTATATTACATTCAGTTAATTTTCTCAACGTACATAGATATGTTTACAATTACTGAACATATATATGAATGAGTTATATAGATATGTGAATAGATTAAAAATATATGTATATGAAAAGCATACATGATAGTGTAATTGTCTAATGTATATTAATATAAATTCAACAATCATATTAAATCCAAGAAATAAAAAGATATCGGGTTCATCGGGTTGGGTTGGGTTTAAATAATAGTAACTCAATACCTATGGTTTGACAATTTTACAACTCGATTAGACATCGGGTTGCTTCGGGTTGGGTTATTTCGTGTTGGGTTGGGTTGGATTGATCGGGTTTGTCGGGTTTTTGAGCACCCCTAATGATAACCATTTTAAACCATCAATTAACTGAAAACTGAACTGATATAAAATGATCTGGTTTTGGTTTTGATTTATAACTTACTTAGGGGCCGTTTACCCAATTGTTTACCCGATAAGCGCTTACCGATAGAAGTCAATATTATGATTTATTTTGATGCGTAAGATTTTGGTATATCAAAACATATTGAATGCAACAATTTACTGGGTAAGAGTCATCATACTCACTTACCGGGCAAGACTTTTTATCCTTCTCATTGTCTTACCCGGTAAGATTCTTGGCCCTTCTCATGTTCTTCCGATAAGGAAATTTATCCAGTAAGCATTTACCAGATAAGTGTTTAGTAAACAGCCCCTTAGTCTCAAACCTTAATTTTAACCAAATGAAAAATGTGTTTATTTTAATTTGGTAAATACAAATTCTAGCGTTTTTTGTCTCAAGTTTGAAAAAGAAAAATTGAATTACTTGTATCAGATTAGATCAAAAATCAAAGCGGAAACCAATTTTTTAGAAAGAAAAAATGAAACCAAGAACCGAACTAAAATCTTAGTTTTAAACGATCTAGAACTAGTGTTATATATGTCTGTTGGTCGGGTATAAAATTGTATGCAACATCACTTTATTATGAACATGTAACTAAAAGAATTATGAATATTAAAAAGATGATCAATATTCAACGATTAAAGAATGAATCTCATCTCCAATACCCACCAATTAATAAGATTAATCCATTATACGAGAACTAAGAATCAACATCATTTTCAGCACCTAAATGTCTTCATCACTAGTGAAGAGAAAAATCAATAGACTTCGTTACAACAATTCAAGTAATAACTAAAAAAATCAATCGACTTCATCCCAACAATTCAAATAAAAACTGTATCAGTTGTAATCCAATAATATTTAATGATTGCCAAATAGAGAGATTGAGGGATGTGGTTACCGATTCGTTTGTTCCCAATGCCAGTAAGGGAATTCGATGTTGCGATGGGTATGGATTGGTTAGCAGAGAATCAAACTAGCATTGTGTGTAACAAAAAGATGATAAACATTGATTTACCAGAGAAATGGCCGATTTTGATTTACGGTGATCGGCGGGATCATCACAGCAGCCTGATATCTGTTATGAAAGCCTGAAAGTGTGTTCAGAAGAGATGTCAAAATTTTCTAGCCTATGTGATTGATTCAAAGAAAGAAAAAGGTAAACAAGAGTCTATCTAGTCGTTTGTGAATATTCTGAGGTATTTCCTGAAGATTTGACTAGTTTACCACATGATCAATCCGTGGAATTCAAAATTGATTTAACACCTGGGGCAACACCAATGGCTAGAGCTTCATATCGATTGTCACCGTATGAATTAAAAGAATTAATGAACCAGCTGAAAGAATTGCTTGATAAGGGTTTGTTGGTCCCGTTAGGGTCTACAAGATGTGTATAACAGTTTGTAGAAGGGGGGATGAATACAAACACAATTAACTTTTCAAATTTAAAATATATATTGATAAAGAAGGATCAATACAGATTTTACAAGATTGTTTGCAAAAAAGATAAGGTAAATATAACTTATCTAAACAATCTAAGTTACACACTAGTTCTTAGCAAAGAGAAATGATTTGTTGTTTAAGACTTAGAATGAAGTAAGTTCTTTCTAACTTGCTTTTGAAGATAAGCGTATTGTGTTTTTAGATGTGTGTTCTTTTACTTATGAACGTAAGTTAGGGTTCAAGAGTAAGTATTAGAGTATCTTTGCATGAAGATAGAACAGATCTATTTATACTCATTGCATTAAATGCACATTTAATGCAACGTAGTAGGGTTTGAACACGTGTCAAGTCTTTAGAGAAAGACTTGTTCTTTGCTACAGTGAATAGTACAAAAGTCTATTCATGAGCAGACATCCTTTCATAAAGTTGGTGAGTAGTAGAGTCAACTAATCGGCTCCGTATCAACTATACTTTATAAAGGGTATGGGTTTGTCCTTTGTGTGTTAAGGACAAGACAAAAGCAATCGTGCTCAACAAGTTTCTTTTGATCGCTGAATGCTGGAATAACCTTAAGGTTTCTTCAGCATTCGCTGCGGCTTGGGCAGTCTTCACACATATGTAGACCAGGTTGTAATCACTGAGTACCGCTTAGGATCACGTATTCGCCAGTCTCTAATCTTCTGTTTCAGTCTTTGACTTTCGTTGAAGGTTTTTTTGTGTGAGTTTTGTCTTGTTGAAGTATCACTGTCGCTGATAGATTTACATTACATGTTCTCAGCGATCACTGAACAGACTTCGTGATGATCGCTGGAACTGAAAGACAGAAACAAAAATACTTCGTACAAGGTAAAAGGGATTATCATATCACCAAGAGAGAGGACCAACAGGGTTTCATCAGATCGAGTACATCTCCTTGGGATGCTCCCAGGTAATGCAAAGACTCGTCCACTAGTACTTGGTTGTTTACCTTTCCCTTTGTCAGTTTGGATCCGAGCTTTGGGACAATCTTTTGCCATATGACCTTGTTCTCGACAATTGAAACAGGAACCGGTCATCCTTAAGCATGGACCCGGTCGATGTCGAAGATTGCATCGATCACAATTAATAATAGGGCTAGAAACATTTTGACTCCCACTGTTCGACAACACTGGAAGTCGTGGCGTGGATAGATTCGAGCCTTTTTGAGTATCACTGCTCGACTTTGATTTTACAAAACGAGGGTTGCTTCGGGAGAAAGATTCAGATCCGCGTTTCTTATTGTCAACGCGTGAAGTTAACCATTGTTGTCGTGACCGATCAATATTCTTTGCAGCGTCGGCCACTTCAGTANTGGAGCATTAGTTAGCCCAAAAGGTATTACTAAGAATTCATAATGCCCATAGCGAGTTCTAAATGCGGCTTTTGGAATATCACAATCTTGGATACGAAGTTGATGGTACCCGGACCGAAGATTAATTTTGGAAAAGTATCGTTCCCCTTGTAATTGATCGAACAAATCATCGATTCTCGGCAACGGATACTTGTTATGGATCGTTACTTTATTAAGTTCTCGATAATCGACACAAAGACGCATCGTACCGTCTTTCTTTTTAACGAAAAGAACTGGAGCTCCCCAGGGTGAAACACTGGGTCGAATGAAACCTTTCTTCAATAGATCATCAAGCTGAGTTTTAAGCTCTTTCATTTCAGTTAGAGTCATTCGGTAGGGAGCCTTGGATATAAGAGAAGCTCCCAGGACTAGATCGATGGTAAATTCGACTTCCCGTACCGGTGGTATACCCGGTAAATCGTCGGGAAACACATCAAGATATTCAAAAACAACATGTATGGATGCAGAAGTAGGAAATACTTGTTCAGGATCTTGTAAAGCAGCAAGAAAACTTTCATTGTTTTGCCACGTATATTGCTTCACAGTAATAGATACTACTGCACTAACATCTTCTTTTGGAGTACCTCCTTAGAAGATTGCTTCTGGGTTGTTTATATCCCCAAACAGAATTTGTTTGGCATTACAGTCTATTGGCAATTGAGAAAGACTGAGGTTTTTGTTTGTTAAATCTTTCAAGCCATATATATATTTCACTCGTTGGGTTACCCGAACTGGATGCAGGAATTCCAGTATTTGGTGTAGGAACAGGATTTGGGTTTGAAGGAAGATTTTGCGCTGCTTGTTGCATAGCCTGAATAGCTTGTTGCAGATACGTAGGTCTTAAAATAAATAATTCAATACTAAATAAATAAATAATATTAATCAATTAAATTAATCAACTAAGCAATCCCAATATAATTAAGATATATTTGAATATTATTATTTGAGAATAWTGTTTATAAAATATAATAATTATGGTATTATTGTTATGGAAAGAAAACAACTTCATAAAWACAACTATAATTTGATAAATAATCAGCAAAATAATGTAAAATAATTATCCATATTAGTAATGAGATATTCACGAAATCAATAAAAGTAAAATAAATAATTAGGCCTTGTTTGTTTTTTTTTTTAATAAAAAAACTTTTATTAGTTTCTTATGTCTGATTAGTTAAGAGGTAGTTTCATACAGACCGTTTGTTTTTTCCAATTTTTCAGAGGCACTTATGTCTTGTTGTTCTCCAAACTCTTAACAACGATGTTTCGCAATTGATTAAACTTAATMGATGTTTCGCAAWTTGTAACATCCCCCGTCCCYGTGGTCCGGAACGGGCGG